TAAAAAAAAAAAATAGTTAGCCTAAATGAGACAACATCAGTCTAAATATGATAATGGTACCCTGGACAAAATCCCATTTGAGTAACGAAGATAACATCAGCCTAAAAAAGATAACTGCTACATTAAACATCGTAATGCTAGTCTGAATAAGATAGTGTTCACCAAAAAAAGACAAGATGAGCTGATTACTAGCAGATCACTTGACCTGTTTTCTCCTTTAAATGCTCTGTGACACTGCTTAAATTCTGGCTCCGTCGACAGCTTTTGAGATGTTCCATTCAATGGAAAGTGGAATAGGGTTCCTCGTGGTAGTTACAAAGAGGCGTCCCCTAAGCCATGGCTAAAAGACTCTTTGCCAGACTGGATCAGGCATTTCTATACCTCCCCTGCTTCACAGCATTCACCCAAGTCAGCCAGTATCCTGTTAACTTTTGCTCCTGAGTTGGCCAGCTACCATCCTGTTGATCTCCTGCCAACTCCAGAGTTAGCCAGTTTCCTACCTGATCCTACCCCCCAAGATGCCTTTGGTCACCTTCTGGAATGCCTTCCTGAAGGTTTCCAGGAGGAAGCATGACTGCCATTGATGTCGTTTCTTACTGCACCCTAGCACCTCGACCTTGCCATCATGGAGGTTCCAGTCTTACAACCGAGTGTCACAAAGGTCTCAGTTTTGAAGCCGGGGATCACGGAGGTCCTGATCAACCGGTCCTGCATCTCAGCTTAGGTCTCTCCTGTTCCCAGGTTGACCATGCTGAGACTATTCTGGTACTGATTGACGTTTTCCTTGTATCCAGGCCAGGCAACATCCGCTTGTTCCTAAGTATGGATGGGCCGACGCTTCATATGTTCCTGCATCTGAGAGGGTCACTGTCTCTTCTATTCCTGTTTCTGCTTCTGAGAGGACTGCCCTCTCTTTTGTCCTGGAGTGTGCAACTGGGTCAACCGATGTCAACTGCAGGGCCTGGACATGGTCAGCTGAGATAAAGATCGATCCTACGTCACCTGATGTTGCCATCTGCCCATCCTCCCAAAGAGTTTGGACTTCAGCGCTGGCCTCTTACTATCTTCCGAAAGGGGTCTGTTTCAGATGTTGACCCCATCCTCTCATCCTGTCTCTGACCCCGAGCATCTGCAAGTACTTCCGAGCAGCTCCCTCCACCCAACCACCCTCAAGGCCATCCTTCGCAGCTGCCTCGCCTGCCTGATCAGCTTCCAGGCGCCCTACTCTGCAATGCAGCTTGTTTTCCCCACATTTAGGCCGTCCCCCATAGTGATTCTGACTCTTCGCTTTATTTGCTTGTTTTTGGACTTTTTAGTTTAGTTTTGTCCTTCCTCCAGACTTCTCCACCCACCCAGCTTACTTTGGCCTTTTATTTTATTTGGGCTGTTTATTGGGATATCTGGAAGCTGTCCATTGGAGGTGGAGGTCGCGGTCCTTGTGAGTCTCCTGTTGTTTTACTTCCTACCTGTGTTCATCAGGTTTGTGTTTTTGCTTTTGTATTTTCTGGGTTTTCTCAAGATTAGTTATTTAGTTATTCTTTGGACTTTTAGTTTGGATTTTTCCTGGGTTTTCAGCCATCATGCAATTGCTATCTTGCCCTTTCTTAACTCTGTTAAGTATTGATTGAAGTTTTCTTTTGTTACTTAAACCTGCCTGTCTGTGATGTCTGCACTTGGGTTTCTACCTGAACCCTACCTGGCATAAAGAAAATAGCATTAAATGAGATAACATTTTGTAGTCGTCTCGCTACCTCTGTGGGTTCCCCCCAGCACAGACACACGAATCGCCGCCGGTCTACAGTCTTTATTTGCCGTACGGCGCCAAAACCAGCACAAAACAAAGAAACAACACAAAGCGGCCGCGTGTCTGCAGCGACCTGGCTCCTGCAGCACATGCTCTCCAGTCGGCGTCTTCTATCTCCTCAACGCAGGCAGAGATCCTCCTCCTTGGCTTTCTCCCCTCTTCTCCTGCCAGCACCCTACTATGTGAACAAGCATATCCACAATTAGGCAGAGGAGATTGAGGTGGTAAACCTGTGTTGCCCCGACCCTATCAGAATGCACAACCTCATAGTCGATATCACCCACTTGCCGTGTGACCCCAAAGGGTTCTTGCCACTTGGTGAGTAATTTGGAGCTGGAAGAAGGGAGCAATACAAGCACTTTTTCTCCTGGTGTAAATTGTCTCAATCTAGTTCCTCTGTTGTACAGGCACTGTTGATGCTCCTGGGCCATGAGCAAATTCTCCCGTGACAATTGCCCAAGTGTGTGTAGTTTTGCTCTAAGGTCCAGGACGTACTGAACTTCGTTTTTGCTCGGGCTTGGACCTTCCTCCCAGTTTTCTTTAACCAGATCCAGAACCCCACGTGGTTTTCTGCCAAACAGCAGTTCAAAGGGAGAAAATCCCGTGGAGGCCTGGGGTACCTCCTGCACTGCAAACAACAGAGGATCTAGCCACCTATCCCAATTGCGGTGATCATCGTGCACAAACTTACGGATCATGGACTACAAGGTTTTGTTCAGACGCTCGACCAGACTGTCGGTCTGAGGGTGGTACACACTAGTCCGAATTGATTTGATGCCCAATAATCTGTACAGTTCCAGTAGTGTGCGTGACATAAATGAGGTGCCCTGGTCAGTCAGGATCTCCTTTGGGATCCCAACCCGGGAGATGAACTGAAACAGCGCCTGTGCAACACTCTTTGCAGAGATGGTGCGCAGAGGCACTGCTTCCGGATGTCGCGTTGCATAGTCCACCAGGACTAACACAAAGCGATATCCCTGTGCACTCCGGTGAAATGGCCTGATGAGGTCAATACCAAGACACTCAAAGGGAACCTCAATGAGTGGTAAGGGGCACAAAGGCGCTCTTGGGATGGCTGGTTGGTTCACCAACTGGCATTCAGGGCAAGATGCACACCAGCGGCGTACCTCTCCCCGAATGCCGGGCCAATAGAATCGGGCCATTATCCGGTCGAGTGTTTTGTCATACCCCATATGCCCAGCCATTGGGTTATAGTGAGCCACCTGGAAAACTGTTTCCCAGCGGCTTTTGGGCACCAACAACTGGGTGACTTCCTCTCCTGTCTGAGTGTCACGACTCACTCTGTATAGTCTGTCCTTAATCAATGAGAAGTGTGGATATGTTTGCACTGTGCCCGGGTGTGCCAAATGACCATCAGTTTTTATCACTTGGTCAAAAGCAACGCGTAGACTATCATCCTGCGTAGACTGCGCACAGCCTGAATCCACCATCGCCTGGTGAATACCCCCTTGAATCCTTACCGGAATGCTGTATGTCCCTCCTGGACCAGGGGAGGGCGTTGGCGGCCCCGCAACCCGAACCACCTGGCCGACCTCCATGAGCGGGCACTCACTGCGGAAGTGACCGGGTTGTCCACACCGCCAACACGCCTGCCCTGACGCCTGAAGAAACCCCCTGTGGGTGGAGATTAGCGTCCGTGGGGGCTGGACTCTGAGAAGGGGAAGGAACAGAGAGAGGATTAGAATGAGGGGGAGGAGAGGGCAGAGTAGGCGTAGGACGCTGGTGAACGGGCCAGGGTGTGGATCTCCGGCGAGGTGCTGGATCCGGCTGGATGGATGACGGGGGCCGCCCCTCTGACGCCTGGCCTCTGGGATGGACAGACAATTGATCCTCTGCAAGGACAACGGCAGCTGCCATGTCTTTGGGGCGGTGACAGCGCACCCATTCTGAGGTCCCAGCCAGAAGCCCCTCCACAAACTGCTCCAACACGACCTGCTCCGCCATCCGCCCCTCCCCGGCGGACTCCGCCGTCTGTAGCCACCTGTTTGCTGCGTCCCTCAGCTGCTGTGCGAAGACAAAGGGACAGTCTGCAGTGCCCATTTTGGTGGACAGAAAACGACGACGATGAGCCTCCGACGTGCAGCCCATCCTATCGAGGACGGCTTTCTTGACGTCCACGAACATCCCCCGTGAGGAAGCCGGCCAGCCGCATGCCGCCGCGGTCGCCTCAAGCATCTCCAGGAAATCCTGTGGGTCGTCTGCCGACGTCATCTTGTGGAGCGTGATGCCAGTCAAGGAGGGAGAAGGAGGGGAGGATGATGCAGCTCCCGACCGGGAGAGCAGGTGCTCCAGCAGCTGGGTCTGCCTCTCCATCTGGGCATGTACACTCTCCAACTGCTGCGCATTCAATGCTGCTTGCTCCCGATGCATCGCCGCAATTTCCCCCAGCAATTGCGCCAGCGCCGTCACCGGCTGAAACTGCTGCAGCCCGGCTCCTGCAGCACAAGTATATCCACAATTAGGCAGAGCAGCAGCACCTGGACCCATCAACTCACCTGACACTAATCTCCTGAGCTCTACCCCACACCACTCTCCCCTGCCGTTTGCCACCAATTACACCCATCTCCACACATTTTTAAACAGTACATTTGCCTAAACACAATAATAGTACCCTAAACAAGAGTCTAAAAACTACAACATTAGCTTAACAAGGTAACGTCACCTGCTACATTGGCCCAGATAACGTCAGTGAAAACAAGATCATGTTATCCTTAACAAGCTAATATTGGCCTCTTGAAAAAATTATCAAACAAATTCTGCTTTTTTTCATGATTTCTGGTACTTTCTTGCATTGAACACCATGAAACACATATGATGGACACCAAAGCTGTGTGGACATGATCAGACTTGATGCCACCATACTGAACACTGTGGTAGACAATACAGCTCAGGCAGCATGTTGGACGCTGGTAGAGATGACATCACTGGTTAGTGATGCGGTAACCATGTTGACATGTGATGTGTCACGTGAGCAGGACTCATAAATGGTATGTGGGGTGAAGCAGACCCTGCAGAGCAGCTCTGCCCACCTGGAAACGAACTCCAACCTGCCGACTGACTGCTCAGGAAAATGGATCTGCTCGTTTCTCAGAGTCTGATCTGAACTGTTGTAGGAACTTTGTTTTTTTTGTGATTCAGTGACTGTGAATATTTCATGTGTTAAATTTTCTCTGCAATGACGTCTATATCTCATTCTCACTCTAATGCCACGGTGGAGCTGCAGTATCAGGGCTTACTGGAGAAGCTGATGGTTTCCACTCTGTCTACTGTTCCCTCCTGTGTGTTCCTCTACGTTAATGGGACCATGTTGTTCTCTCTGAGGAGTAAACCGGTGTTTTGTGGGACTCCTCGCTACGTCCTCCTGTACAACCTCCTGTTTGCAGACACTGTGCAGCTGGCTCTGAGTCAGGTCATGTATATTCTGGCTGTTTGCAGGGTGAAGTTACTGTATCCTGTCTGTGGGTTTCTCATTCTGCTCACTCATCTCACCAGTGGGATGTCTCCGCTTACTCTGGTTTTGATGTCTCTGGAGAGATATGTAGCTGTGTGTTACCCACTGAGACACACCACCATCATCACCATCAGGAACACAGCGGTGGCCATCACAGCAGTGTGGGCCGTCAGTTCGCTGAATAACCTCACTCGACTCCTTCTGTCTTTCCCATTTCAGAAATTGGGGATTCTGCAGGTGAAAGATCTTTGTTCTAATATAGCCGTGATGCTTGGATCTGTGTCTCGTGAATATGACGAAGCCTTCACCTGTGTTGTGTTTGTGTCGGCCGGCGTGGCCATCACCTCCTCATATATCAGTGTTGCAGCAGCAGCCAGGTCGGCCTCCGCAGACAAGACTTCGGCCCGTAAAGCTCGAAACACGCTGCTGCTGCATCTGGTGCAGCTGGGCCTCAGCCTGTCCTCCACCATCTACAACCCGCTGCTCATCGCTCTGTCCAGAACCGTGACCAGGATCGTGATTGTGCGAATCCAGAATGTTTTTTACGTGTGTTTTGTCATTTTACCCAGATGTCTGAGTTCGCTCATCTACGGACTCAGAGATCAGAGGATCAGGCCCGTCCTCATCTACCATCTCTGCTGCCGACTGAGACTAGTAAAAGGCAGCAGCCAGAGGCCTTCGTAAGTCAGTGTGTGTGCCAGAAAAAAGCACTGAGACAGTTTGATATGAAAAGTGTTCATTTGTTAAAGCAACTAATGTCAGTATTGGTTGAAATTCACTGAGAATCCCGTTCACACTGAACTCCAGCAGTCTCTGGGGGTTTTCTGCTCCTGCTTTATTTTTACTCACCGTGGCCTCTTTATTTACTGCAATATAAAATCCTGCTCTTCCCTGGAAACAGAACAGCCTTGAAGAAGGAGAGAGAGCTCAGAAATGTCTTTTCTGCGGTATGACACACTTAGAATGCTGTTATTTGTTAATCAGAACAACGTGTTGTGAGCAATGTTTTTTCAAGTGCTCACAAGCAAGACTAGATAAATGGTGACTCAGCGTACTGTGATATTTCACTGCTCACATTTTCGATTTGTTTTCATGCTTGTCCTCTCTTTGTTGTGCGTAATCACAAAAAAAATGTTTTTGACAACTTGTTTTGTAAAAGAAATGAAAAGTTGCACATAATACATTCAGAGACCTTCTGAAGGTTGAAAGCCTGATGATTCTTTCCGGTTTTTCTGTTTCTACATGATAAGTGCTGTTATTTTGGTCTTTTTTTTTTTAAAGACTACAACATGTCTTTTAAATCTACTGGCAGGTTTTGGGGTTCAGAAGGTTAAAACACACAAGCCCCTGATCAGGCACCAGTGCTTTTAAATCATCTTGAGTGTATATAATATCCACAGCTTGTTTGATCGATTAGTAAAAATGATACGATTCATCAGTGTAATGTGTTGATAAAACAGATCATTGCTCATTTGCTCCAGTGTTTTAAACCATTCACACCTATAACCAGCCTCCATCTGATGTCCTGTCACATTGCATCTAACAGTTATTTCATTTGTCCAGTATTTCCTCAATCAATCAATCAATCAATCAATCAATCAATCAATCAATCAATCAATCAATCAATCAATCAATCAGTTGTTGTTGATGTCAAATATCATAAAAGGGTGAAAAACATCTTTCAGTGCTTCCCAAAGTCCAAGACAACACATCTTTTTTGACCACAGCCCAAAGACACTTAGTTTACTGGGTACAATATATATAAAATATTGACACTGAAATCAGAGAAGCTACTTTTTTTCTTCTTAAAATAATACTCAAACTGATTGATCAGTTGTCAAAATAGTGAATTTATTAGTTGACAACTAATCAATCAGCACAGCTCTAATGTCCCGACCTCCCCACATGGTGTCCTAACGTATTTTTATTAGTCTCTTGTATCGCTGCTTTTGGAATATGCTGATAGGGAAAAATACATAGCAAGCATTATGAAATTGTACCCAGAGGTTTTAAATTGTGTTTAATTTAGATTTGATGTACAAGTAAATGAAAATGTTTAGGAAATCTCAAAATACTTCAAATGACATACATTTAGTAGTAAAATGCCGTTGAGAGGGCGACTGAACTTGTCTCGTGACTTAAAGGACCCATATGGTGAAAATCAGTTTTTTTATGTTTTGTGTGAACTCTGATGTGTAAAATAAAAGCTGTGAAAATATGAAGATTCCCACTGCTGCCATTTGTCAATCCTCCTACAACTAGATAGGCTTCCAGCTTTATAAACCAGTAAGAATTCAACCCGACTGCTACGTACCACCACAAACCAGTAGTCGTCCAGCTCAGACTCTGCATAGCTCCGCCCCCTCACTGCTTCCAGGTGAACCATTGACATATGTGGTGACTCGCACTTGGTTAAATGACTCTTTACCTGATTAATAAACTTCTTGAAGCCTCTGGTCATCAATTAGCCTCCAAGTCAGTCAGTAATCAGTTTTCTACCAAGTCTGCCAGACCTGTTCCTCACCAGCCTCCTGCCAGTTCCTGCTCCTGTGTTGGTTTGCCTTCTTCCTGGACCAGTCATGGAGACAGAAACCCTCCAGGCAGCACCTTCTAGTTAGCGTCCAGCCCACAAGCAGGACAACCTCCACACCAGTCTGCTCCAGTTACTGAGCGGTTCCAGTTACTGGTCTCCTGTCTGCTCTGGTTCCT